GAAATTACACATCAGTAAGAACTTGCTGAACATGTGCATCGATTGCAACATTTGGGAAGAAACTGTAGGTTGGCTGGTGTTTTTCCCCACTTAAAATGGTCCTGTGAGGTACACATATGTTCTGTCAGAAAGGTAAGTTCATGCTTATCTTCGTCTGAGTAGGTGTGGGCAGTCCTGATCAAAAGAGCAATCTTCTCAGTCAGGGAGAGATGATGGTCACCATGCTGGTCATTGTTCCAGTGTTGCCACTCTAAAACAACAACAGAAAAATAATCCAAAATAAATCAGGCATGTATGATAACATTACATGCATCTAAAGCTGATACTATCAAAGTATTTTATGGTTCAATGTGGCAATGTTAGTCTGTCAGAAAAACAAAATTAAGAGCAAGGGACAGGAGAGAACTCACTGACCCTATATGAAGTCCCATTCAAAGTCCATGAGGTTCCTCAGCAGTGTGGAGACATGTGTATTCACTGTGGCAGACTTCTTGTGGACCATCATGCCCGTCTTCTTGGAGGCACCCTTTCCTCGGATGACCTTTGATCCTCACTCTGGATTGATACCAATGAAATCAGAATAGTCTCTGATCAGTGACTGAATGAAAAACTGCATTTTGTGGTCAAAAGAGGTAGGGTTTGAGTTTTCTAACAGAAGGTGACAAAACTAACTAACTAGTAAAAAAAAAAAAAAAAAGATTATACAGTCGAGCCCCTGAACTTTCGAACAAACTTATCTGGTCAAAATCTGCACCAGCTTGTTGATCACTATTTTTTTTCTTGGTGCCTTACAGTTTTTTCCACGTTAAGACTTAGTGTTGGGATGAAATAAATGAAACATTTGCAGTACTAATCACTTTTCAAGCCACTGTGACATTTTGTGCAGCAGCTGTTGAGGCAGATTGAGTTTTAGCTGCTATTTTTGCTTCCTTTTTCCAAACTTGGATGTGTTTTGTCGCAGGAATGACGTTGGTGCTGCTGATCAAGCCGGGGCTGGATGGAAACAGTGTGACAAGTGAGGACGACACTGTGTTGGCCTCCTACACCGCCCAAGCCTTGATCGATGTGATACGGTGAGAAGGCAGATTNAAAAAAAAATCACAATCCACTGAGCTGGAGCACCGTTGTCAGTTTTAGATACACTGTAAAAGAAAATATAATGTAATCACAAACTGTGAAAATAGGCATATATCAGTAAAATAATGTTGTTGTTTTTTTAAAGTTAGTATAAATAGCGTAGTTATATCAGCTCAAATAAAAAGCTAAAGACAGCGTAATTGTGTGGTTACACATTTTAAAAGAATACATTGCTATTTATAAAAATTCAGATTTTGGATGTGGACATCATTTACAATTTTGGCCTGTAATTCACATGTAGATTAATATCCCTTTTCTCTAATTTTACTGGTTATCATGTGTTAATTAACAAAACTAAAACACTTGACCACATTTTGACTTCTGCCAACAGATCAGACTTTTACCAACAGTAAAAATGACATCGAAACATTTCTGATCAACTTTATCGTATTTTTGAAGGATTTAACGCATGAACTACAGATTAACTAATCCAGAGTTACTTTTTATTATTCTAAATTTTGAAGAAAATAAAACAGCTTACAATTTACATCGATGGCTCTTCGTAAAACATTTGAGGCCACCGTCCTAACATTTTTTTTATGGGGCATATTTCCTATGTTTAAAAATACATTTTCCAATCAAAGTATAAATAAAATAAACATTCAACATTCTCTGAAGGCTCAATATGTGAGTTTCTGTGGAGTTTATCTTTTGTCTTGTCTTTGTTCGTTGAATTTCTGTTATTTCTGTTCTTTTTCTTCCACACAGGGATCATTTTAGGCTCGCTTTTGAATCGGCACGCCACGGTTACAAGATTGGCGAAAGAGCTCATTGGCATTCCAGCACAACTTCTGATGCAAATGCTGCAGGTCGTCTCCATTCCCATCGCTGTGACAAGCATG